AGTGTTGTAAGATTGAGATAGTTCTAGATGATTTATGGCGCCATGTTTCGACTGATTCGTTGAGCTTAGATGATCGTAGATAATTATCCGGGAGTCCATGATCTGGATCGAGGATTGGTCAAGGCAGATTCCTAGAATCACGGCAGGCGATCGTGGTTGTGGTGTCCAATCGGCGAGATTGGGATGCAAGGGGAGTGGCATCCCTGCTTTGGCTGAAGTGGAGCCAGGGTATCTGACCAGTGCCCGTACCTTCTCGGACTCGCGCAGGGCCGCGCAGTTTGCGCACAATGTGCTGAGCTGCGGTGTGCTTTTGCGCAGTGTGGTGAAAACCACCACGGCCTGGCGGTGCTAACTAGCACAGTGTGGTTTTCCCGCACTGCCGCTGCGATGGGGCACCTCGCAGCGCAGTTTTCGCGCAGTGCAGTGCGCTGCGCGTCAGGGATTGCCTGAGGCTTTTCCAAAACTTCATGAACCAGCATAATCCTTACGTGCAAGTTTTCCGTTGGGCGTCTCAAATTTGCAACTCTAGAGACACCCGCACTCTTAGAATCAAGACACTTTCTGCACCAGGAAATGATCACCGGCGTTACAATCGTCCCACAGCCGATGATGTTGCTGCAATTGTTGAAGGTAATGGGAATATTGGCGAACACGGGAGGGATATTGTACTTGCACGACAGAATGGCGACTTACAGCGCATCTCTGAACTTCATACCGGCTACTTCGCATTACGATACCCATTATTATTTCTCTACGGCTCGCAAATGTGGGACAAGCACTATACCAATCCAACAGTTGAGAGTAAGTCATTTTTATTTTAACTTCAAGCAATAAGTTAAGATTCGTTCAATACTGATTAAAACATTGATTGTCAGATCCTGAAGGTGACTGCTCAAACTTGGAGTGGTTTGCATACCTCCTGTTCAAACCTCCGGCATTCTCGGTAATCTTAGCCTCTGCACGTTTATTCCAAGAGTTTGCTGTCGACATGTACGTGTGTGTCGAGCACTCTCAATTACAGTTCCTTCGATACCACCAAAAGGAAATCAGAGCCAAACTCTACAATGGTGTTGTTGAAGCCCTAGGTAACGAGCTTGAAGACGAGGTTGTTGGTCGAAGGATTGTCCTACCTTCTTCTTTCACTGGCGGTCCTCGCCATATGCAGCAACTATATCAAGACGTCATGGGTCTTGTGGCGGAATATGGTAATCCCAGTTTGTTCATCACAATGACGGCTAATCCCGAATGGCAAGAGATTCACGACGCCCTGGAAGATGGTCAAACGGTGCAAGATCGACCGGACTTGGTGGCAAGAGTTTTCTATATGAAGTATCACGCTATGTTGGAGGACGTGACAAAGTTCGAGCGTTTTGGCAAAGCTGTTGCTTACGTTTACACCATAGAATTTCAGAAACGGGGTCTACCACACGCCCACCTCATCTTATTCCTCGAGCAAGGTGACAAGCCAACCACTCCCGAACAAGTTGATTGTCTCATAAGTTCTCAACTTCCTGACCCGGTCAACGACCCAAACATTTTCAGAGCTGTAACAGGTTTCATGTTACACGGACCACGCGAGCAGTATAAGTGCTGGAATGGTACCAGTTGTCGATTAGGATACCCTCGAGCCTTCCGCGAGGAGACCGAAATGCCTGATAACTCTTACCCATCATACAAGCGGCCGGACAATGGTCAACATTACATCAAGGCCGGATTCCATTATCATAATGGTCATGTGGTACCTCACAATCGTTACTTACTGTTGAAATACAATTGTCACATTAATGTTGAAGTTGCGGCTAGCATCAGAGCCATTAAATACTTATTTAAGTACATTCTCAAGGGGCACGATCGAACTTTGGCTGGAGTCGAGGACGAGGAACAGCCAGACGAGATTCTGGCTTATGTGAATGCTAGATTTTTATCAGCGCCTGAAGGTGAGCTCAAAGTTTTTTTATAAATATCATCTTTTTCTACTCTGTATCTCACTTTCAAATCCTTATGTGATTTTTCAGCCGTCTGGCGTTTGTTGAAGTACCCATTATCTGGGAGGTACCCCCCTGTCCAGCGTCTCAGTTTACACCTTGAGAACAGCCAGACAGTGTATTTCCTGAACGCCTACAGACTTCGACAAGCAGTTGACAGTGGACGTGCCGAACGTACCACCCTCACTGAGTTCTTCCGGCTGTGCCAAGAGAACGTAGGACTACAAGGCACTAATTGCACAATTCGGAGTCTCGAGTATCACGACGTACCTAAGTACTTTGTGTGGAACAAGAAGCAAAAACGCCTCACCCCACGGCAGAACTCTTTGATTTCGATCGGCCGTGTCTACTTTGCGAACATCAAGCGGGGTGACATTTACTATCTACGATTACTGCTTGCCCATGTACCCGGACCTACTTCTTTTGAGTATCTTCGAACCGTGGACGGGGTGATACTCAGTACGTTTCGAGAAGCCGCTGACAGGATGGGTCTTTTGCTTGGCGACCATCATTATCACCAAAGTTTAACTGAGGCAGCAGTGTGGAAGACAGGACGTCAATTGCGCCACATGTTTGCCATCATCCTGTGTCACAGCCCTCCTGCAAACCCAATGCTGCTATGGAACGATCACCCCCTCAACCTTTCTGACGATTGTGAACGCGAGATTCGTCGCCTGAACCCCAACGTCCAGCCAACCAAGGATGAGATCTTAAACTACGGACTCTATCTCCTAGAACAGGTACTTCTTGGAATGGAGTCTAGCCTCGAAGATGTTGGCTTACAGCCAGTCAATCGAGCTTTACTTCTGAATCTTAGGTTGATGGATGGAACTGGAGCCAACCGAACTACCCATGTCGCTCCTGAGGAGAGTTCCAGGAAATACTTGGCCATGCTTCAGGCCTTGACCAACGAGCAGAGGACGGTAATCAATTCAGTTTGTCACTCTATTATTGGTAATCAGCCTTATCTGGCATTCCTAGACGGGCCTGGTGGCACCGGCAAAACATTCACGCTCAACACGATATTGCATTTTTGCAACGCCCATCACATCAAATTCCAAGCCGTGTCTGCTTCCGGTATCGCCTCCTTGCTACTATTACACGGTAGGACAGCCCACAGTGGCTTCAAGATCCCTATCGATGTTGATGAAGAATCGATTTGTGCCATATCGCCGAGGGATGCATTAGGTAGAAGCATCAAGGAGGTTCAATTTATTGTGTGGGACGAAGTCGCTATGCAACACCGGCACGCAATTGAGGCCGTCGATCGAACTCTGCGTGATCTAACAGGTAATAATCACCCTTTTGGCGGCAAGGTTGTACTTTTTGCTGGCGATTTTAGGCAAATTCTCCCAGTGGTAAGGCGTAGCACTCTCGCCGAGCAAGCTGCAGCCACTTTGAAGGCTTCCCATTTGTGGGCATTTGTCCATCGTTTCGCGCTCACTGTCAATATTTGACTCGGCGGAGCCAATGCCAGACCTGATGCATTGAACATGAACTTTGCTAGGTGGCTACTCGACTTGGGAACTGGACGTCTGCAAAACGAGCACTCTGCATTAACTACAATATCACACTGCAATGTCACTGTTGTGCCTCCTCCTTGCATTTGTCCACCGGATATGATGAACAACGAATATGGAGCAGCTGGGGATTTCATCACTTACCGAGATTGGGAAAGTTTAACTAATCTGTACTCCAGCAGGTGTGTGATCACGCCATTAAACTCGACCGTTCAAATGGTCAATGATCATGTCATGGACTCATTACCCGGTCAATACTACACCTCAACCTCCATTGATATGATGGACGAAGCGTTCTTGGATCAAGTAACACCCACCATTTTGAACTCCTTCAACTTTCCCGGTTTCCCTGCTCACGTGCTCAAAATCAAGGTAGGAGCGGCCGTCGTGCTTCTTCGCAACCTGAATCTTGGTGACGGTCTTTGCAACGGTACCCGTCTACTCGTGACTCATTGTGGTCGAAACACTCTCCAATGCCGGATCCTCACCGGCGAAATGAAAGGGACAATCGTCAGCCTTCCTAAGATCAAACTCCACCATGATGGAAATCAAGACTCTCCTATCCCTTTTTACCGTTATCAATTTCCTGTGATGCCTGCTTTTTGCATGACTATAAACAAGTCTCAAGGGCGAAGCTTGGAGAGGGTTACGGTTTTGCTACCTAATCCAGTGTTTGCTCATGGCCAATTATATGTCGCCCTCTCACATGGTACAAGCGCTGCAAATGTCCAGGTATGCATTACCTCAGAGGTGGGCGAAGCAAAGACTAAAAATATTGTATTTCATCCTATATTGCTCGATTAATTTACCTGTTGTATGTTTCCGCTAAGATTTTATAATCAAGTGGTTGAAGCTCATGTCTGTAAGCAATCAGTGTTTATGTATTTCTGCTTTCAGTTAATAAATTTCTATCTTTCATACATATTACTTAGTCTCATAATCAAATAACCCCAACAAGCTGCTCAGTTTGATGGGTCTCAATAAGCAAGGGGCGAATCAAGCAAACATGTCCAGTGCGAGTGATAGACATGTTGTTATCTTTTGTCTGACTTTGTCCTTACAATCCTCTTGAAAAGACAAGATCATGAATATCCATAAGGTAAATATGTTACGCTGAGATTTTACGGCTTCAACGGTGATCATGTGTAGAGTTTTGAGACTTTTTGGTAAGTTTGACAAACACTGCCTATATATCCTCAGCAAACGGCGATAAATTTTCTCTTGACAATTGGGACATGCCTATTGTATCCCAAAGCATGCGTGTGATTCACCCCAACGCCTGTGTGAGTTCGTGACGTTTGTTATAATCATGTGTAGAGTTTTGAGACTTTTTGGTAAGTTTGACAAACGCTGCCTATATATCCTCAGCAAACGGCGATAAATTGTCTCTTGACAATTGGGACATGCCTATTGTATCCCAAAGCATGCGTGTGATTCACCCCAACGCCTGTGTGAGTTCGTGACGTTTGTTATAAGATGCTCATATGCCCTCATCATGATTAATGTCCACTCTGCATCTCTTCGATTGTTCAATAAATCATCAATTATCATGCCTGCATCTCCACACCTGCCAGTAGAGATTGTAGAGCGCATTATAGCCTGCTTCCATGATGATATGCTACGTGCTCCTGCCGATCCAACAAACAGTGCAGACACTCCCTTCTTACATCAAACTTCCATCAATCGATTGTTAAGTTTGCGTTTACTCGGTCGGTCTTGGGCAATTGCAATACCACCCTTTGTCTGTGCCTCTCTGACATTGAACGCCAACTTGATCCATACCTTCTCAATTGGATTCACCTCTACTGTATCCTCACCTGTAACCCACTTACGTCGCCTGTGCTTGGATCGGGTCATGTTCTTTTCATCTGCAGTGCTCAATAACTTACAAGACAACTTTCCGCAAGGCAATCGTGCGCAGCTGGAATTCAATCATCAACACAACGAATCGAGATCAATTTTAATGCAGGACGCGGCCGATCTTATTACTTTATGTGGTTCTACCTTGCAAGAATTGAAAATAATCTTCACATACTCAGTTGGGTTTTTGGAAGATATGATAGCTGCATTTACGCATACAAACACTTTGAAGAAATTGATTATTAAGGGTACTAAACATCATAGCATCATGAACGACTCCGACTCTGTAACGGCTGTATTGCACAACTTATCCTCATTAGAGTCCCTGACACTGAACTTTGCAACAATAAAATCCTTGAACTTGGAACCTGGATCACTACCAAATTTAATTCATTTGTGGGTCGCAACCCACCCCAAGAACGTCAACGCCATCAACAATTTGTGTCAAATAGTAAGCCAAGGAATCAAGTTGCTAGAGTATCCTTCGTCTGCCGGAGTCGAGCTCACAGCAACAATTATCATCGATTTAGCGCAATCTTTCCACGGCCTCTTTGTCCATACCATCCCAACCTCTATTGAAGATGATGTTTGTTTGTTAAGACTTCCAAAGCTTAAAGTTATACGTGCTTTGTACGTTGATCCTACAGATCGTCAGCCAACCTTCCTACGGTACCCTATCTTCGAAACAGTCGAGGTCATCATCACCAGCTATGTCAATAGTAGAAATTATTGGAAGAAGGCCATGACAGATGAACGCTCGATGCTCAGGGATGCGCCAAAACTTAAACATGTTGTCTTAGTTACCTGGAACGGTCGATCTACACATGACCCTGAGTTGGTAGCCCTGTTCAAAAGCCACAACATAAAGTGTCATTTTAGGCCGGAACTATCACATGACGAAGTCATAGTAAGTACATTTAACTATGGTGATAGTCACTGAATAATAATTCCTGACGTAGTATTTGAACCCACTTCAAACAGAACTTTATTGATGAAGTTGAATGCAAGTAGGAAAACTTTGTTTGCAAGATTTTTAGTAAGCAGATATAGTGGTAGATGGGTAGTACAAGGTAGGATCCAGATCTGGGCTTATCATCAGCAAGAATTCCTTCACTATACTGCCTTTATAATATTGTTGTACCTCATGTATAAGAGTTTAAGTACGACCAATTTGTGTTTGGTTTTGTGTTGCAATTTTAGTAAACTCTTTAAGTCAACCTTATATAATTTTTAGATTATCTTTTGCTCATAATTCATGGCCGGCTGCCACAGTCTGTCCCGAATTTTAATCTGTGCAAGAATTTCCCCTCACGCATTGATTTGATGTCTCAATGGCAGCATCTTATAACTTACATTTGTATGTGATGGTGTGTGATTACCTCCATTACAAAGCTCAGGTGGTTTTTCATCTCAATTTCGGCATCGCGGCGCCCGCCGCCGGATTGCACTAGTTGATGGGAAATCCAGAGAAGGACCAATAGTATTCATTTCTAGACAACTGAAAGACAGTGAAACTAGGTACGGTTCACCTCAACTAGAGGCTTTAGCTCTAGTATGGGCGCTAGAAAAATTGCACTATTATCTAGACGGAGTTTACTTTGAAGTCATTACGGATTGTACAGGAGTAATATCACTCATGAACATCAAAACACCCAACAGACATATCTTGAGATGGATGTTAGCCATTCAAGAGTACAGACCTTATATGACGATAACTCATAGACCAGGTAAAATGCATAACAATGCGGATGGTCTAAGTAGAATGGCACTGCCAAATGACAGCAGCAATCCAGCATGGGATCCTGAGGACGCAGAGATTGATATACCAGTGATGGGTATCAGCCGTGCAGAATTAAGTGATGAATTCTTTACAGAAATCAAAGAAAGTTACAAGTCAGATCCCAATACGCTGAAACTTGTCAGACTTCTGTCAAAAGACAAAGTAGACTTGAGCCTTGCAACCACTTTAGAATCACCGTGGAGGAGTTATTATGCAGAAGGTAAAATATCATTGCAATCAGGGTTGTTATACTTTAGAGAAAAACATACATCAGCTGTAGTTTTAGTCTCAAAGATTCATAAAGAACAGATACTGAAGGTATGTCATGATGGATTTCTATCTGGTCATTTGTCAACGGACAGAACTCTTGAAAGAATTCATACTACAGCATGGTGGATAAGGTGGAAACTAGACACTGAGGAATATGTAGCAAGCTGTGATAGATGTCAAAAAGCCAACAAAGCTACAGGTAAGAGGTATGGACTTCTTCAGCAAATTGAAGCACCAACTTACCCATGGCAGATAATCAATATGGACTTTGTTACAGGCCTACCACCAGGAGGCAGTGATAATAATAATGCTTGTCTAGTGGTGGTAGACAGATTTTCTAGGCGAACAAGATTTTTACCATGCTATAAAGAATCTTCAGCAATGGATATTGCATTGCTTTTTTGGGAGAGATTGATATCAGATGTAGGATTACCAAGAGTAATTATCAGTGATAGAGACCCAAAATTCACGTCAGAATTCTGGAAAAGTCTTTTTCAACTGATGGGGACTAAGTTAGCTTTCTCTACAGCCTACCACCCTCAAACTGATGGTTTGAGTGAGAGAAACATTGGTACATTGGAAGATTTAGTAAGAAGATACTGTGCTTTTGGGCTGGAATTCAAAGACAAGGATGGCTATACTCATGATTGGGTAAGTTTGTTACCTGCTTTAGAAATAGCCTACAACAGCAGTGTTCATAGTACTACAAAAAAATCACCTTTTGAAATTGAAAGGGGTTATTGTCCACGACTGCCAAAGGACAAATTTAAGACACGAGATGTTGAAATCCATCCTACATCTTTATCTTTTGCTTCCATGATCAGTAAAGCAAGAACATTTGCTGCAAATTGCATTAGAGAAGCAGAAGAATATAATAAAGAAAGATGGGACAAGACACATCGTGAGCCAAACTTCAAAGTGGGAGACCAAGTTTTGTTGTCAACAACAAACTTCACTAACGTGGAAGGATCTAAGAAATTACGAGATCTCTTTGTTGGTCCATTTGTTATATCTAAACTAGTAGGACCAAATGCAGTAGAACTCATACTGACAGGAGACATGGGAAGAAAACATCCTGTATTTCCAGTGTCCCTTGTGAAAAAGTATAACTGTCCTGAAGGAAATGAATTTCATCCAACAAGTAAAACAGTTATACCTAAATTTACTCCAGAAGCAGAAAAGAAGTTCCTTAAGATACTAAGAGAGAAAAGAGTTAAGAATAAGGACAACAAAGATGTTATATTATATCTTGTCAGATACAAAAATCAAGGAGCTGATTCAGATGAATGGTTACCAGCAGAAAAAGTGCCCAATGGTAAAGTGACTCTAAGAGCATACAGAGCATCAAAAAGAGATAATAAACCTGATAAAGGTGTATGATCTCTTCTAGTGGTGGGGAATGTCAGCCCTGAGTACTGAACCATAGTACCATAGGCTGACAAATAACAATAAGAAAACATTAAAAAACAATAATTACAACTCAGACTCAGTTTCAAGAGTCAAATTACATATGAATTAACATATGTAACACATGTAAAACTTATGTAAAAGACTGTGTGAGTACACGACTTTACATTTCCTAAAAGATTACATACATTACACACATGTAACAGGTATGTAACCAAGTAGATAGCTCAATACTAATATGTAGTATAAACCTAACCTTGGAACCACAAATTGTGCGCATAGGATTTTCAAACTTCAGACTATAAAAAACTTGAATATGCGAAATTCAGAATCATCATCACATTACATCTTTAACACTTTTATTATACAATAAAACCTCATCACCAACTAGATTAGAAGCTTTCAGTAAAGTGAAACTTTACCATCTTATTTGTGATTGTTATTTTGTCTTGTGGTTCTTATTTCCCCAATTTACTGTGACTGGTCTTAGTCACAGTTTTGTAATAGTTGTTGATTACCGTTCGTGGAATCAAACTATAAAGGAGGTAGTCCTTAAGTGCTGCTTGATCTGATTTGGGATTTAATCAGATCAAGAAACTTTAAACCTGCGTAGTACCTCTATTAGTCAGAGTGTAAAGTACTAAAACACTATAAAAGAAATTAGTGTTCTTAATCAATTTATTTCTAGCAGAAATATAATTGATTAAGTGTAAGTCACTGAAGATTCAGTGCACGGTTTCTACTATTAATAATAGTAAAACCCTCACCCAAATCCCTGAAAAGCCTTTCTTTAAAGGTCCTCTAACTGCAGTCTATACTTGTTTGTTACAAGTATAGAGCTTGAACCTTATTTCTCCGCCTTTAAACCTTGTAGATCATAATCCCTACAAGTGTATACCTTTTTCCTTAGTGATTTGCTAGCCTAAAAGAAGCTAGTAGCTCACAAAATGCACTTTTTTCCAGCACTTGTACCTTTGTCTCAAAGCTTTTCTTCTTCTTTTTCTGAAACGTGGTGGCCTTTTTTGAACCATTCTTATGACATCCAAGTCGGTTTTAGGTAAAATTTGTCCTAAAAAACTTTCTTGGATGTTGTAAAATTCCTACTTGGAATTTTTGACTTGAACCCCGCTAATAACAAAGACATCAAGTGATTATTGGCTATTGTATACCAATTGAAAGCTTACAGACAAGGACCAACTGACCAATCTCAGTGGAATTTCTTGACAATCATTAAGGATAATACAAAATCCAGCCCGGTGCTTGTATCTCTGACCGCCTGGGTTTCATCTGTATCTAATCTTGATCTCACACTATCCCTGTGGCTTGACATTCCGGGTGGTCTGTTGAAATTTTGTTGATTTCATGTTGTGACCACCCACTGGTCTTTTTGTCAATTTGAGATTATTATGTCCATGAGAGGCCTTAAACATTTGTACTTACCTCCAGGGAGGGAGCACCTTATTAGGGCAAGTTGCAAAGTTAGAAGATTGGGCGAGTTGCCCATGCGTGTCAATCATGATCCAGCAACAGACACCACCAACTACGTACCATTACAAGTCATGAGCAGAATCAAACACAAGACCCAGGAAGACAAGCAGATTTGAGAGAGTAAGAGACAAAGTACTCACACTTTGACAACAAGAGATTGAAGAGATGCACACACCAAGCCTCAGCAATGGATGTGTGGTGTCTATGATGTAGTACATAGCTAATTATGGACTGATGATGCAAACACACGCGCACAATGGACGCACAAAAATGTACAACAAACAGATATCTTAATTGAGCTCAGCCTGAGGATGGCAAATATCAGACGTCTGCTGAAGACAACAAAGTGTTAGCATATGTTGAGGTCTTCACAGAGATGTGGTAGCAAGGCCATGGACCAGATGATGAATCATGTCTTTGAGCATATTGAAGTTGATTGTATCAAATTGACATGAATAAAGTGGGCGGTCACAACACCAAATCAACAAATTTCTAAGTGACCACCCGGAATGTCAAGCCACACAGGATAGCGTGGAATCAAGAATACATACAGATGATATCCGGGCGGTCAGAGTTGCAAACCCCGGGCTGGATTTAGTATCATCCATAATTAAAAGACCTCAGAGGAACTATATGAATAGATACTGGGATTTCTTTTGTCATTGGCAGAGTGACAGGATGTGGTACTTTGGGGTGAATGGTAGATGCGTGAAAGGAGATTATTACCTTGGTATTCAAAGTCAAAAAGGTATGCTGGGTCAATTATTTTGTCATAAAGAGGATAGACAATGACCTAAAAATGGAAGATATAATACAACTCATCAATGCATTTGGAGGTCAGTCAAATAATGGAAGATTTGCAAATTGTGAAGTAGAGCAAAAACCTTTGGGGTCTATATGGCATGAAATAGACAAAACCATAAGATTATCAAAAGGAAAATGGAAAGAAAGGATAGAAAGACTAGAAAACCTACCTGATCCACAAACAGAGTGTAGTAAGAAAGAATGTCAGCCCCAAGCCCTATACCTAGTACCAAAGGGCTGATA